AGCAGAAAAATGAAGGAGTTAAAGAGCAGATCTATGAGTCAGTTCACTTGTTGAGACACTCAAGATGTTTGAAGAGTAATAGTTTCTAAAAATCAATTCTTCCTTTTCTTTCAGCTGCTCCCTTAAGAGATTGCTACAGCAGATTATCTGTCTCCATCTCCCCCACTCTCTCTAACATCCTCCTCAGTCACACCAACCCTCTCCAGTTCCTCCTTCACTGCATATCCATGAATCTTCTCTGTGGTCTGTGTGGCAGCTCTATCTTCAACATCTTTTGTGCAATATATTCGCTACCCCTCTGCACACGTCCAAACCGTCACCCTTGCCTCTCTAACTTTGCACTAAACCTGAACTGTCTCTCTGAAATACTAATTTTTAACCCTGGTCACTCCCAATGAAGATTTCGGCATCTACAGCTCGGCCTTCTGTCTTTTTGTCAGAGCCACTGTGTTCAAATCATACATCATAGCAGGTCTCAGCCTTCCCTTTCACTCTTGCCACTATCCTTATGTCACAAATCACCCCGGACACTCTTCTCCACCCATTCCACCCTGCCTGCTCTCTCTTCATTATCGCTCTTGTGCACTGTCTGTCGCTTTGGATGACTGACCCCAGGTAATAATGTGGGATCCAAAGAAAAGGAAATAACCATGAAAAAGAAAGTTTGAAATCTAAACTTTAATCTGCTGTAAATAGCCAATGCTTAAAATGCTCTAAACATTAGTTATTTTCATAGGCTAGAGCATTTCAAAGCCTTCTGTTGGCTGCGTCAACAGTAAACACCTGAAAATAATCTGCTTCCTTGACAAAATTCTGTCACCACATGTAAGACTCCAGTGTGTGTGCTGCTAACAGTGAGGTGAAACTACTTAATTCACTTTGAAGAAGTCTTTGAGCACATTATGGACTTCTGTATAATGTTGCACCTATGATTTACAGCCCTGACTTGTTCTTCAGCAAACCATAAAGTGAGGCTCATTGATATTCTCATAGAGTTACATGTTTTTCCTATTAAACTGCTTATCCACATGGGGTTGCAGCTAGAAGGGGGTCAAGGGGTGGACTTTAATCCAGCTGATGTTGGGAGAGATGTTGAGCACACACTATAGTGTTAAAGGTTGTTCTCCAAACCAAAATCATGGAAAAAAATATTACTTTTTAGAGATGCAGCATAAAAAGGGAACGTGACTAACAACACATCACATTATCATGATTACATAAGTGAGCTGATTACATTTTAATGACAGCCTCCTGTTAGCAGCTGATCCATGGTACTGAATTTAAAGATGCCTTGTTCAGCAAGGATCAGTGACAGCAGTTTTTGATAGACAGCACAAGGCATTTAAAATCTATTTTCCCACCACAGATATTCCTGGAAATGGAAACATATTGGCTGTAGATCTACTTATGACAAGACACACTGAGGAAATAGGAAAGCACAGAACATCCCCAGAGAGAACAATGTATTCATGCTCCTAAAAACTACTTGCATCCTCAGTAATGGGTAGAAGATATATTTATAAGCATCCATCTCCCAGCCCTATAACCACTTAGCCCATACAGCTCATGTTAAAGGTTTTTAATGGTCACTTACCACTTTTCCTGACATCATTGCAATTTAATAAAGGCAAACATAAAATGTTTCCTTCAGAGACCATTTGATCCTCATGCCAGGTACGTGTATGAGTGCTTTCACTCGCATAACATACTGAGACACTCCCCTTCCCCTTATGTTACACTTCCCTGATACTTTTGGCAATTTCATTTCCAAAGACTGAATCACGGAGAGCATGAACACAGTTCAACAGGAAGATTGCCAATTATAGTTAAACTCTGATAAGGATTTTTGCATTTTATAAAGAAATTGGGATGCGGAGGAACCTTTTTTGAAAAATAAAGGTGCAAAACCACTAGACATAGTAGCTGCAGTATGATCCTAAAGAGCTCCGTTTGGTTTTGAGGGCTGTATTTAGGCAAGTGCACAAATGCAGATGTCAGAAAAGCAAACTCTGAGCAGAGAAATAATAGTTTAAGATCTTAAATATTTTATAACATATATGTACAGCTTGTACTGCAAGTAGTTTAGGCCACAGTTTATAGTCATGACAATGCATAGTTTGCTTAGGCTCATTAATTACAGCACATAAAAACATTCAGGTTCACAGCTTTGTCTTGGGTTAATAGCTGTTTTGACTTCCTCTTCCCACCACCACCATGAGGTTTCTCACTTTTCTTCCATAGTAAATTTTCCTCTTTTTCCACTGTTAAAGTTTCATCTTCTCCTTCTCTTTCTCTCCAACCCAACTCTCCTTTACTCTCTTTCGCTGCCCTGCTCCTGTCCCTCCTTCACATAATCCTGTGTTCTTTGGCTTGCTTGATTAGCTGAGGCAATAAACACACGAACCCACAGGATACCTCCAGAAAACTCCTCAACATGATTACTGCAGAGTCAGGAGGAACACCACATGCAGGAGGCCCACGCGCTATAAAGTCTGATTTGCTTAGAGGTGTGTTTGTGTGCACGGGGGCTTGGCACCATAGCGGACCGTAAATGTTTGAGGGTTTGCGTCAACAAATTTGTGCGAATCTTGTTAAAAATTATGCAATCACTTAAAATGCCCGTAACATTATGACCGGCTACCTGAAAGAAACACACTGTTGTATAATAAAAAGCCTGTTGTGACTATCTGCTGTGTATCAGCCAGTAAGTAAGCAGAAAATTCATGATTTGGGGATCCTTGCATCTATGTCTCGCTGTATAATTTGGTAAATGGATGCGTTCCTTCTCTAATTCTTTTATGATCTTGATGACAACTTATTCCTCGGTGCTTAGTGTTGTCAGAGTTTCTCTCTTGACCCTTCACTGGAGGAACTCAGCTGGTGTTTTGACAAGGGAACTGCTGGCAGCTCCCCAGTTTTCAATAGGCTCATTATTAAAGCAGCTCTCCGTAGACTACCTAAGCCATAATTCTGCAACCACAAAGGATTCATAAAAACTCTTTGGCAAAAGTCAGAAACCACGCTGCAGCACGCACATGAGTGGAACTATGTGTGTTTTAATGGCATCAGTGCATAAGCGCCCGCCACACGTGAGAAACTTTAGACAGTATTTGGCTCTGTTGAGGGAAAAAAAGGAAGGAAAAAAAATCAAAATTAGGCGCACACGTATAACAATGCACATTTCAAAATTCTATCGTAAAAATGTAACACATTAAAAAAAAATTTTTAAAATCAAAGTCACATGCAGATACACACTCATGTTCCTGCACGGGCACGCCTGCAGCTTCAGGATCTGATTTGAATTAAGCGATCTAAATGGTGGCGAGAGTTCTGGTTATCACATTCATTAGATGCAAACTAAACCCCAGCCCCTAAAACCTTTCTTTTCCACTTAACTAGGAATCATAATATCTGAAGTGACACTGCTGAAATTCTGGCCATTCAGTCTTGTGCAATTTAGTGGTTGCACTGTATCGTTCAGTCTCCATGTGTTTCAAGTTTTTACAGGAAAAGGAGGAATAAGATAACAAAAAACAACAGGAAAGCATGTGTAATGCTGCTGATTCTCAGTCCCTACAAAATATGTGCACCTCTAAGGCTGGAAAGCATGGCTTATTTATCTACTGAAACTACTGCCAGCTAGTTTTCGCCGTTTTCCCTGCAAAGGTTGCTAAAGTTGAACAGCTCCTGCGAGAGGTTTTTATGTGTGTAAAACACTCTCTTGCTTGGAAACTTGATTTTTTTTAAAAACAAAAACAAAAAAACAGTAGTGTGTCCTGGATCGCTCTTTCGCTTTCTCTCTCTCTGTTGGGCTCAGTCTCCTTTCCTTCATCTTCCACCACTTTCTAACTGTCTCACCACGTCTTGCTCGCTCGCCCTCTCTCCAATTTCCATGCCTGTAACTTTAACGCAGATGCCAATCCTGCTCAGTCCATTTAAACTCACTCAGGTGCGCGCGCGCGCACACACACACACACACACACACACACACACACACACACACACACACACACACACACACACACGGCTCAGTCATTCAGTCTGTCAGTAATAAGGGGAGCAGAACCAACAGAGAATAAATCATTTTTCCGCAGTAGGGGCCTACCCCGAACAAAAGAGCCAGTGTGTGCGCGCTTTGCCGTGTGTTTTAGAGTATGTCTCTGTTAGTCTATTTACATATTCCTTGAAAAAAATCTTTCATCTTTCATATTTTGCAGGCAGCAATTTCAATGCAAACAGAAAAAAAAAAAAAACACCAAGAAACCAAGAACAATTTTTCCTCCGATGAAAAAATCAATCATAAACACTCTTGTGCCACGACAGCTATTAAGTGTTAAGATTTGGTTTTTTTGTTTTATTCCCCACGGTAGCTGAGTTTGAAAAGCAAACCACACATAAACCCACAAAGCATAGATGCACCAGCATTGGTCCAGTGGATCAATGATGGAATAGATTTCTGCAGATTTATATGTAGGTTTATACTTTTAGCAAAATGTGGAGGGCTTGAATAAGATAGAGCTTTGCCATGTGGTCTCTGCTCTGTGCGAGTGAGGACCTGATCAGTCCCAGCGGTGCGAAAAGGCAGCAGTGCAGAGAACAAGACAAGAACAGACGTGCAAAAGCTGCCCGGGGTTTTGGGTGGCCTTCATAGTCCAGTTAATTAGCTTGCCTATGTGACAACAATATATTGGACACCAATATATCACGCTCTGCTACTAGAGACTGAACAGCACATTTGCTGAACGCGTAAAAAAAAAAAAAGCAATCTTAATAACCCTAGGCTTAGACCAATTATTTAAAAGAACGGCTGGTAGCAAAGCTGTGTCTGAAATCCCTTTAGGGTGCACTGCTACAGTTATGTCTTAATGGAAGCATTTTAACAGTAGCGTGGGTGTGAAAGATAAACAACCCATGACAGGATAAATACAGAGCACTGTTGTCCTCGAACAGCTTTAACAGCAATGCCTTCTTCCATTATCTGCATGTATTCACTCTCTTACCTGATGTAGTTTAAGTCCAGCAAAGCGCAGCATCTCTTTGCATCTTCTGAAGTCTTCTCCCATGCCCCGCTTTACGGTTAGCCATGTATCCTCCTTACTGGGAGTCCAACATCTGTAGTGAACAACCACGGCCCAGACATCTTCTGAGATGAGTCCCGACGGCAGTGTCCTGACAATCGCTCTGGTGCCAGTACACACCGACTTGGTCACCTTATGGAAAAGAGAGGCAGTTGAGATTACTTCTAAAAAACACTGATTAATTAATTGATTAAAAATGATGATGTTAATCAATTTAAACACATGCCTTCTGATTATTCTTGCAGAACCGCCTCACCAGGACAGTTGAGCGCTCTTTACGATTCCGAATAAAATCATTATCCACATTATCCGAATGTGCTTCTACTTCTCCCTCATCACTGCTGTGATCCTGGCTGCAGTCCCTCGTCTCTTCTGTAGGTAACCTTTCATTGTGAACAGGGGTCGACAACATGGTTTCAAGAGAAGACCTTCGAAGGAAAAGTTTCTCCAAAGAGCATTTGTTAACCCGGGGCCTTCGGTTGAGCCTCTCTAAACTTGAGTACCCATCTTTGAGGCAGTGCAGATGGATGTGGCCGTTTTGGTGACGCTTGCGGTGGACGGGAAGAGGAGAACTAGATGGAGATGATGTCAAAGAGCTCGGTTCGCTTGAGGAACTGCCCTGGGATGAGAGGTAGGGCGATGTCTAGAAGCATATAACAAGAGAACAAAACACAGCAGTGTCTTGAGTGAGCTATTACATGGAGTAAAGCTTTACATTTATGGGACAGTGAGGGTTGCTTTGCTTATCTTAAAAATGCTATAAAACAGGGTTAGCACCATTTGCTTAATTACCTTGTGGAAAGCCAGCATAGACACAGGGAGGCTGCCGCGGCGGATGTGTCTGTATTTGGGGCCAGAGGGCCTGCAGCTGAGGCAAGGACTGTGAACAGGGCTGGAGCCAAGGCTTGGACTGGACCTAGAGCTGTGGCAACAGTAGGTGTTCGCATTGGTATAAGGGCTAGACTGGGTACAGGAGCAGTGGGTGCTGCCAGTTCTGTTAGTGCCTGCATCCACGCTGTCTCCAGTGGTATCCAGCTGGCTCAGAGATTCCTCTGAACCTTTCCTAAGTACTGGAATCATTTCTTCAAGTTTCTTGCCAGTGGAGAGCTCTGGATAAGGTTTCTCTTTAGTGCTTATGACTTCTGAGCTGTAATCGGGGCACTCATATTTTTTGTCCAAAACAGCGCCTTCCCCACTGTCACACGATGGCTTCCTACACAAGGGGAGAGAAGGGCCGCTCGACTGTTTTGATTGACACATTTGGTCAGCGTCTCGCCACACTTCCTGCCCATTATTTGCATGTTTGGCTCCTCTGCTGGGTCTGCTCCCAGCGGACAGAGGCGAAGCAGACTTTGCCAGTACCGCGGGCCCAGCCTGTGTCTGGGTTCCTTCAGTGGCCATCACGTCTGCCTGCGGTGTCCTGCTTTGTCCTTTTGTCTCCCTGCGGCTTGGAAAAGAAGAAACACTTTACTGATGATGACAGAATGTAGAAGAAATGCTGAAGCTGGTTTCTGGTTCGGTTTGGTTTTAAGTTTTTTTTTTCTGAAAGTGGTTACACCTCTGTTAGAGCTGTAAGGATAAGTGGATTTGACGGACAACTATTCGGATGGTTTACAATTCCTGTTTTTCCTGTATCTTTGCATTTTGTACTCTTCACAGATCAAAACAATCAAAACAAGACATCTACAGGAATTATTACAACCACTACTGCTCACAAATTCCTGAAATCCTATAGAGAAAATCTGCAATAGAAGTCAAACAAATTCCTGTAAAACCTCTGAGATTCTTTGGAACCTTCCAATGTAATTCGTGATTCAGTAAGTCATGAAGTAACCGAAAGAGCAGAAAGAGGAAATGAAATTTGCTGGGGTCATAAAATAATTCACGTCATAAATTATTTGAAGTTATGGCTTTTTCATGTTTACCAACTCAGCTGCTTTAGATAAACAGTATTACCAAGCGCAGATCAAGACAGATAGCTTGTGCTTTAGCCACAATAACCCGCTTGTTTACATAATATTTATGTTGCATCAATTATGTCGTCATTAATCTTTAATCACAAAGATCAATTCTATTTTAAAGCATGCGTTGCATTAAGCCCACACCTCATTTTTATGCTCCACCATAGGCACAGGCCTTTGCTGTAGGAAATGATAGCTTCAGCTTCTGCTGACCTCTTGAGTGACTAAGACGCCACATCAGTGCTGAGCGTGCTCTGTGTATGAGTGTTGTGGAAACAGAAGCTTGTACAGCTGTACAAACCAGCAGATAGAGAAGCCAGCAGATAGGTGACCCTGGAGGACTCAGGAATTTCCTTGATAATACGGTCGCCGCCACAGCTTACAAGGCCACGTGTGTCCCTGTGGGTGCGGGGTCTGTCTCAACCTGGACGCGTATCTGCGACATAACTAACCACTCTTTAGGCCCTGGGATTGAGAAACAATGAGAACACAGACACATAAAAAAAGGAGTTAATATTGTCAACTTTTATGCCATTAAAACACATTCAGATAAGACAAGTTTGGACAGCTAGCAAGGTTAAAACAAATAGAAGCAAAGGATAAGGAGTCAAACCAAAACTGAAAAACATATCATCAGCAAATCCAAGTTAAGGCAGTTTTTAGAGTTTTCTTCTGTGTCTCTTTTCTTCATCACATCAGCTTTAAGAACTAAATTAGTAAAGTAAATGACTACAACCCTAAATCTGAAAAAGTTCTGATGTAGTCTCTCTCTAAATTTCGACAACAGAACAGTTTTAAACTTCGCTTCAGTCCTTTTTAAATGAGCTTTGTCCCAGAGAACCAGTGGCTTCTGGGTATCGTGCTCACATGTGGCTTCCTCTCTGCGGGACCGAGCTTTAACCTGCATTTGTTGTTGGCATGGTGAACTGTGCTCCCAGGCAATAGTTTCTTGAAAGTGTTCCTGAAACCATGCAGTGATTTCCACGAGACAATCATGCCTGTTTTTACTGCAGTGCCACCGGAGGGCCTGAAGATCGCAGGCATCAAATACCGATTTTCACCCTTGCTCCTTGCGCACAGAGATTTCTCCAGTTTGTACGATTATATCATGCACTGCACTTGATGAGATGTTCAAAGTCTTCACAATTTTATATTAAAGAACGTTATTCTGAAACTGTGATGAACTTCTGCTCATCTTTACTTCTGAAACTGTGCCGCTCTAACACACCCATCATTTTATATCCAATTATGTTAACAATCTGTTGCCAATTAACCGAATTAGTTGTAAAATGTTCCCCCAGCTGTTTCTTCTTAGTACCACTTACAATTCCAGCCTTCTGTTGCTCCCATCCCAACTTTTTTGAGACATGCTGATCCCATCAAACACAAAATAATAATAAATTTATAAGATCTGATAAATTTTCAGTGTTCTATTGTGAATTTGAAAAAAAGGTTTTGCGAAATATACAAATTGTTGCATTATGGTTTTGCATGGATTTCTAACTTTGTTGAAACTCTGGTTGTACAAACAGCATGAACTGTGGGAAGACTCATTTTACACTCATCAACCCAGCTGAAGCAATGGCAATAAAACAGTTTATCTTCATCTCTTAAGGTATAGCACTTGTGCAGTGTGCTCATGCACATAGTTGTGTTCATGAACAATTCATTTTATGGCTAGCAATAATCACAAAACATTGTTCAATAAATCAGGACTCTTGGATCTCTCTAAAGTGCCATAAAGAAAAATTGATTTCACTTTTTTTGCTAGCACAGTTGCAATAAAGTGAGAACATTTATGAACCATGTTACTATGAAATATATCCTTAACAGATATAGTCAACCACAACATGTACACATACTAATTGTGTGGTGTATGGTATCGTCATGGTGGCCAGCAGTGAATAAATCCAAAAACTAGCGTCCAAAGCCTCACAATTAGAGTGACCACAGCCCTTTATTCCCTGCCAAAATGTGTGGGCCTCAGCAGGAATGTGGGACCGACACAGAGAGGGTGGACCAGCAAGACATTTAGAGTGTGAGTTTGCGGGAGAGAAAAAGGACTACTGATACAAACACATATCAAGGTGAATGTGTTTCGTGTCTTTTCAAAGCTCCATGCTACTTTCAATCAAACAGAACTTTGGCTAAAGGGATGAAAAAGGACAAGTGCTCCATTCATAAGCTGCAGTGATATCTAACCACCATACCACAACTGCTGCTTTGCAGCTTAACAGTTGCTTTTTTGATCGGACTGATTTGATAACTGAATACAGGAAATCTTATAACCTGTAAAGAAGCCACAGTTACAGAAGGCACTGCTTGATTTTTCCTCGCTTTACTCAATACCAAACAGATTTCACACAAACGAAACAGACAGTGCACCAATGACACGGCATTACTCTTATCAGTGCTGCAGAGAACAGTTTAAAGAATAAAAACTACCAGGATATGCCAAGACGCAGGATTCCCTAAATACAATTTTAAAATAAGTAGACTTTACAGTTTACATTTAGAAACATTTACTCAACAGGTAAAAATACCGTGTGAGCACAATCCTCAAATAGTGCTTAGAGGTGTGGTTAGTTTTTACAGATCATTTACAAAAGTTATTCTGTTTTCTAAACATGGGTACGGTCTGTTCATTTCAATATCAAGTGCAAAAATTAAGAAAAATTAATTTTTCCCTATAAACTATTCGAGCAATTTGCAGTAAAACACATAGTGCCCACATGCAATCTTGTCATTGTGCTCTCTTTGTAAATATCGACAGAACTTAAATATAAAAAACAAACATGCTTTATATAATATAATAATTTAATGAATCCTAGCAAATAATGTTAATATTGTGCTTATTAATCGAAACTCCAACACATGGACACAAACTGCCTGGAGCAGTCTTTGACATTTGCTCTACTGACATGACGATGAGATGAGACAAATTTTCACCTCACTTGTGTAATATTTTCCAGAAAAGCCTCAGTTACTGTATGTTTAGGCTAAGAAAATCCAATTCAACCCCCAGGAGCTGATATTACTATCACTAGCAGCAAGTTGTCATGGTACTAGATACGATTATTTTTATTACTTTGACAAAGATCGTTATGGCAGTCTGCGCCAATGAGAATCTCTCGAACCTATATGCGTCACAGTTAACCAACTGGTTTAACCAGACACATCAAAAGTTTATAAAATGTGCAACATTAGTCACCTGCCAGAGTAGTTCCCGCTACAGTATCTGTTGTAACGTGGTCACTCCTGCTAGATATGAACTCAAATGAAATGTTTCACATTGCATTTTCTAAATAATGACTACAAAAAGTGTTAATTATAACACAATATTACTAAATATTCCTGCAAACCTGTGTGTGCCTGCCTCTATTCACAACTGCTCTAAATCCCTAATCAAGTTTTGCCTGTATGATGTGTAGAGCACCTGCTATTGAACTTGGGTGTGGTTTAGCAAACTCTACAGCAAGTCATGACAATGACAGTAATCAAAACAACACAAAAAAAATGAAAAATGGAAGAGCGGAGAAATTAAATATGCAGAAGACATCTTCAAAAATATAGAAAGCACTAGTATCATAAATAGAAACCACGTGTTCATCATCTGCTGCTTAATGTAAGTGTATGAACAAACTGTCTTATATCTAAACTGTGACACATGTTAGGGCATGAACCTGTCCAAATATGTGTCATGAGGGCAGTGCTGGGATAACACTTCGATTACTCAAGGCAAAAACCTGCACGCTGTAGCTTTAAATCCTGAGCCATGTGCATGATAGACAGCTGTTGTTGCCATCAAATCACTCTGAAATTAGCAACAGGATAGCATTTCCACACAGCGGTTGCTTAAAATGGATCTGTGTGCAAACAAAGTGAGATTTGGCATTCAACTCATGACTTATACAACAACTAAATTGTTCCTATGCGTTCAAGAAAGGTGAGATTTACAGACTAGAAATGGCTGTTAAACAGACAAAATCTCCGCAGAAAGTGAGGGTAAAAAAACAACCGTGCACTCAAACACACACATAAACACGCACTGTTTAAAGTAGCTCTCGTTATCAACTGAACTGTGACCCTGGCTGGGAGAGTAAATGGCTCATCCAGCCTAAATCTCAGCCTAGAGCTAAAAGCGCAGACACACCCGCGCTGGAAATCAGGTCACATACTGTGACAAGTGCACTGACCAAGAAAGCACTCAATCACTTCTACTTCACTTGTTATTAAAATATTTTCCAGCAATCCTCATACCAAGCTTCTCATTTAACTTAAAAAAAGAAGAAAAAAGCTAAGATTACAGCATTTGATTGGAATTATAATGAGGCAATACTTACATTTAAAGTTAGATACGTGGCTCTGGGTGCTTTCTGCGTTCTAATTCTCCCGATTTACCAGGTGATTCAGGATTCCCGCTTGCTGTCTATCGGAAAGAGAGAGAGACAGAGACCAGATCAATGCAAGAGAGCAAGTGTGTGAGTGTTAAACAGAGCGAGAGTGTGACAACAAATGACATGAGGGATGTCCTTTAAACACCAAGTTCAGCAGCTAATCAAAAATGTTTTCTTGAGTCTGAGCATGGTTCCCAGAAGTTTTGCTTTCACATCCAAGTGAATGACACAATGTAAAAGCTGGCAGCGGCACAGAGTTTCCTCATTGTGAAATATTTGTGAATGGCTTCTTCTGTCAAGAGGTGTGCACTATATGTCAGTGTTTTGTTTTGGGGTTTTTTTTTCTTTTTTTTTTGGGGGGGGGGGGGGGGGGGATAAATGATGATCACTTCTTATCTCTAAAGTGAAACTACTTCTATGCCTACAGTATATTCGTTAGGACATTAATCTTTGTAGAATAAAAAACAAAGTGGGCCTGTTTCTCAACCTAAAGTCACATCCTGAAGTTTTCTTAGTGCCATAAGGCTCCCAGAAACCAATACCAAATATTTACAGTTTTAGACATGATGACAAACAATAAAGTAAAAAGTTCAACAATTGAATGAACTCTTGCAGTTATTGAAAGCTCGCATTTGTTAACACGACCCAAGGAAAACTTGTGAACATCAACCACAACAGTGCAAAGGCTGAAGGTTTCTTTCTATATACAACTCTATCCAATAGGATTCATTATTTCCCATGCTGCAATAAAGTGCAACACATGGTGATGAAAGCAAAAGGGTATGATCTCAGCACCTCTGAAAGTCCTGAAAAAAAAACAAACTGGTCTAATCACAGTCAGATGGTTGACAAAGAGCTGAGTATGTGTTTTTATGTGCGTTGGCTGTTCCCTCGTTTATCTCAACAGTCTGGCTTACAAAGCGGAGCGCATGAAATATCGAGTAATTGTCAAAAACACAGCCACGGATAGCTTTTGCTTATCAATCAACTTAAAATTAAAAATTTAGTCAATAGAAAAAAAAAATTTAAGTAGACTCTGGCACAGAGTTTAACAGTTGCACACGATTTGTAGATATTTAGCAGCTGGATTTTCCCAACCCAGTCTTCCACAACAGCTTTTCGGAATTTAGCCTCTTCTTCTATGTCTTTGTAGAATCCCAAACAGACTCGTTTCATGTTGAGATCAGCGCTCTGTTTTGGCCATGACATCCATCACAGGACTCCTTCCTATTGCTGTCACTAAAATGGTTCTGTAGATCTTAACATTACTAGATATATCAAAAAAATAGTATGTCTCTAGTCCACATTATTCTGTAAACTTATCTGGAACATTGATACATAGTACTATGATTTTTTTTTTCCACGTGGTACAAAATTGAGACCCATTTACTTTAAAAAATGAAGTTAAAAAATTTATGTCAAATTATTGTATTACCATTTTAAAGGCACTTCTCATATCAACCAGTCAAAGGAGACCTATTATTCTTCTCCTTACTTTCTGGCATATCCATTCATCTATCCATATATATGAGTATGAAATTCTTTGAAAGTTTTAGGTTGTTCTCCTTTCTAAACATGGCCTTGTGCGACGTCAGTTTGAGTGAAAATCTTAAATATGACAGACAAGTTTGTCTGCCAACCAGCTGGTCAAACCTTCTGCCTGCAAAGCAAATCCAATCAGAACAAATGCTGGCCATAGGAGTGCGTGACCTTGAAGGTAGCTAAAGCAGCTTATTTCGGGCACTAGATGAGGGACTACAACTTAAGCACATAAGGATTATTTTGAACTGCAAGTTATACAAAGCTACTTTCATACTCGGAACATATGTGTTGAAGACAGAAGCAGTTAAACAGGTTTGGTATTATTAAATGAAATGTGAAATACATTTCCTTGAGATCTAAAGTTACAGTCGATTAATGGCCAGATAAATTATTTAGAAAAAAGCCAATGGCCTGATATTGGATTCAGAGTTAGAAATATAATGACAATTGGACAGATTTTAGATTGAAGAAGTATGAATCATGTGTCACTATATACTGCTATGTTAGCTTAATGCCATAATTGAAATTTGACATTTCAAAGTAAGCAACTTTCTTAACTGAAGACATTCCACCTATCAAAATTGTGGATTTGAACACTAATGCTCCTTTTGTGTAACAACTCTTTGTTTCATACATATTAAACAAAAGGAGCTGCAATTTAGCTAAATGAGTTTGTCTCAGGAGGTAGAACAGCCTCTGAATCTCTGGCCTCAATCACTCTATGTGAATCCCCTCAAGAGGGGGCTTGAGTGTTGCATAAAAGCCTTTTTTTTTTTTTTTTAATTTTCATTCAGGAGGGATTATTTCACAACTCATCCACACGATGACTCACAGCCCAGGATGTGATTAGATTCACCCTTAAATGGAGCACAGGAATGCAAATGCCAATCAGTGAGGTAGAAAGTCACAGAGTGGGTAGTGGTTTACAAAAAAAAAAAGAAGAAAAAAAGCTCTTTACACTTGATTACTACTATACGATTACTTTTTAAACAAACTTTAATATTGCTTAGTAATTGGGAAAAGGACAATCAGAGAAAATGGAACTGAAGAAGTTTGAACATAAAACGAGATCTACATTCAAACAGACCTGAAATGCCACTTATCCTCCTGAGCCTCTAAAATACTCTGCTAAATACTGCCCAGGGAGGTTTAACATTGGATCTTTAGCATTCCAACAGCACAAAGAGTAGACCAAGGAGAGAAGGAATCCCCTCCTCTGTTGTGCAGGGCGGGGGGTGGTCGCAGAAAAAAAGAAAAAGGATGTCACAAGAGTACAAAAGGATGACGCATCACCCAACTGTACACAGTAAAAATCCAGGTTTCAAGCAGATTATTTCTTTAGTCACAAATACCTCGCTGATGCCAAGAGAACTGTAAAGAAAAAGAACAAGAAACACAAGGTTGAGGTGCCATAATGGGAAAGTTAAAAAGAGTCTTCTGGAAACCAACAGAATCATGAAATCACTTACTTTTGAAGAACTCAGGACATACTTTAGACTATATAAGTTCAAGCAAATGTTTAATAATGATGTGGAGCTGTGCTGGAAATTCAAACTGTGCTATACAGCCAAGTGCAAGATCCAGTAACAGAAACTCCTCCTGCAGTTTGCACTCTTTGGGACAAAGAACACCCCTCCTTCTCTCTAACATGGGGCTGGAGAAGAAAAGATGCATCATATGACTACAGCGAATACAATAGAATCACATTCCTTAAAGATTTTCACAGTTGAAAAATGAAAGAAGAAAAGAAGGTTGGAGTTGGTGGGAAGATTTAAAAATAATATGCATTTCACAATGTAACAGAAACCACATCTGACAAATAAAGAATGAATGTTTCTATTTACAACATGTGCAAGGCATCTTTATTTGTGGGTCGGTTTTTTTGTTGTTGTGGGGGTTTTCTTTGCATTTTGGGCAGAGAAGTACTGATCTGGCTCAAGAAATAGGCATTCATCCATAAGATGACGTGGTTCCGGTTCCACCCCGAAAAAGGTTGTGTTACAACCATGCTAATGCCCGAAGGTAATCAAAAGAAAAATCTTCTGTAGTGCTTCTGCTGCTAAAACATTACGATATTACACAATTTTATCTTTAAAAAATGTAAAGAAATGGAACTGACCTATACCAGGCAGGCAGAACTTGGCCAAATTTGGAGCAGAAATTTGAAATTGATTTCCACTTGGCCTGTAAATAACAATACACTGCAGTTTATCCATAACCAGAATAACAGGATACGATCTCCCTTCATTACAGTAATTCAAGGCGTGTATCAACAATCATTCAAATCAACTACTGTTAAACATTTGGGACCTAAAATGAATCACAGTCCAGATTCTGATGGGTGTTTATATAACAAGAGCGCAGGTTATGGTTACGATGACTTTAATGAGCGAAAGTGGGAAGGTTTCGGATTCATCCGAAGAGGAAACCTACGTACACCGAATCCGTCATGAACAATCAAAGCTAAAGAACGGAATTTCTTTGATTCTTTAAGATTGGACTAAAACCCATCCACCAGATCAGCTTATAAACAAGCAGACAAGTGCTTGAGAAACAGGAATATGAATTGGATTATGGATTAAAGTGTGAACCTTCCCGTCATTAAAATATATTGCTGTCAAATTGACCTAGATAGTGCCCAAAGAGCGGAACAGAAATTCAAGTCTGTAGTCTTTTGCAGGTTAATTTTAATTTTACAGTGACTCCGTCTGTCAGTAAGCAAGTGGCTGGTTTCACTGAGAACAGAACAGACTTTTCATGCAAAGGATCTGGAGAACATATGGCTTTGATTAGAGGGCAGGGCAGAGAGAGACGCCAGTGGAAACTGCAGAAAGAGAAAGAGGTGCTGTGTGAGTGCATGTGTGTGCATATATCTGGTTGTGTGTCCAACGGTTAGCGGGCTGCTTCCAAGAGTGTTGTCACGGTGGATGAGCCTACGCACACTAGTGTAGATGTGGCGTGAGCGTGTGCTCGTAAACAATGGCACAATAAAAGATGACTCAGAAGTGGGATTGCTTTGTAAATATGTGTGTGTTTTTGCGTGCGTGTATCAGCAGCAACACAAAGAGCGCTGTGGTGGCATGACAAATGTACCACCGTGGCCATACAGCGCTTTGCATATGCTACAAAACTTTCACTATAGCCTTGTGTTCTCTGTACAACAACATCAACGTGCTTCTGACTTAAAATCAAATGAACTTCATCTGTGAAGTCTCCTCCCTGTAATCTGCTTTTTTTTCTCCAAAGCACATAAATATTTTGGGAAAAGGCCAATAACTGTGTGAGAAAACATATGCTTTAGCTACAGCACCAGTCAGGATCTCTGTAAAGTATTTATTCTGTGCAGATAATTAGTTAATTCCCAGTTGTTGTCAAGACAAGCCCAAATCAAGGTAAGTTCAAACCTGACAATCTGAGTTAATGGAAAACTGGTTTAACACTCAAACCTGTTGCATAGGATCTGGACTGGTTGTATTGGTTTCACTAGACAAGACCGAACAAATGACATAAGCTTAGTGACACATCGAATAAAGCAGCGTTTACAAATCTTCAGCCCCATGGTTGAGCTCAACATTTTGAGGACTGTGAGCCTCATCATCCAGTGGCCCAGCCCTACTGGCACACAGCAAGCATTAATAGTCCGGTATGGCATTTGTGAGTTTGGCGTAGTGACACATGGAGCTGGAGTTTCTCCACCAAGAGCAGATATCTGAATCAGACATTGGTCTCATTCTGATTCAAATAGTGAGATCAGACATGGGTTATATGGGACAGATCGATTTTATTCCAATCTGTGTTTAACATGCAAGTGGTGCACTGGTTTGGAGGCGTTTCACGTCTGCTATGCCAGCACCTTTTGTCTGTATTAGAGGTGGAACGATCGACCGGCCAGGGACCGGAGTCGGCTGTTTTCCAATGTTCTTGGCCCGGACCGGTCGACCAGCTGGTCAGCCTCACGTATGCCCCATTACAAGCTGGTCTATTTCATGCAGCATACACATGCTTTATACACTGGCCCCAGCTGTTTGTGCGTATTTCACTGAAATAACTCTGCATGGTGATGGTTTGTAGAGGCAAGAGAGTGATTTCCCAGCAAAAGACAAGCAAGGAAAGTGTTTGTAAGTAACCCAATGTGCAGCATAAGTCATAGACACTCATATACACTTTATCAGTACTGGACTGGACCCCTTTTTTGGCTTCAGAATTGACTTAATTCTTCATAGCACAGATTCAGGATGGTGCAGGAAACATTCCTGCAAGATTGTGGTCCATATTGACATGATAACGTCACCCATTTGCTGCAGAATTGTTAGTTCGACATCTGTGATGACAAGCTCTCGTTCCACAATATCACAAAGGTGCTCTTTTGGACTGAGATCTGGTGACAGTGAAGGCCATTTCAGTACAGTGAACTCACTGTCTTCTCCAAGAAACCAGTTTGAGATGATTTGAGCTTTCAAGTCATGTAATGTGTTATCCTGGTGGAAGCAGCCATTAGAAGGGATGGACATGAACAGCAAAAATATTCAGGTAGGCTGCAGAGTTTAAATGTGGCAAAAACACATCCCCGCACTTCTACACCACCCCCGGTAGTCTGAACTGTTGATACAAGGTAGGATGGATTGATACGTTCATGTCATGTACACCAAATTCTGGCCTTACCATCTGAATGTAGCAGCAGAAATCAAAACTAATCACACCCGGCAACGTTTTCCCAATCATCCATTGTCCAGTTTCGATGAGCCTGTGTGATTTCTTGTACTTAGCTGACAGGAGTAGCATCTGGTGTTGTCTTCCGCTTCTGTAGCCCATCTGCCTCAATGTTTAGCATGTTGAGCAATCAGTGACGTTTTTCTGCATACTTTGGCTGTAAGGAGGGGTTATTTGAGTTACTGCTGCCTCCCTGTCAGGTCAAGGCAGTCTGGTCATTCCATTCTCCTTTGACCTCTGACATCAACAAGGAATTTTTGCTCAGAGAATTGCCACTCCATGGATGTTTTCTCTTTTTTAGACCATTCTCTGTAAATCCTAGAGATGGTTGTGCGGAGAAATCCCAGTAGATCCCCTTTTTATAAAATACTCAGATCAATAACCATCATTCTCATGATTCATTATACTTTCAGCAGGTTGCCTTGACAATGTTTACAGGCCTAATTGCACAGAGTCTCTGCTATGTGATTGACTGATAAGTAATTTGCACTAAGGGGCAGTTGAACAGGTGCACATACTAATGATGATATGTTGAAAAACAAAAACTGGTCCAGTGGTCCTTCCTCACATGTAGCAATCCAGAGTAAATAGTTTGCCTCAGACACCGCACCACATGCTTTAGGTGAAGGAGCAACCTGGAATGCAAGCATGCATGGACACACCAGACACATCTGCAGGATCAAACAGACTTTGCACTTAGGAAAGTAGAAGGTTAAAGACCAGCTAATATCAGGTCTGACTGAGTCAGGCAAGGATCTCTGTACTTTACTTCCTCTGTACATGCCTGAGTTTATGGATGGGAGGATGCACAAGTAAACACCAGTTTTTTAAAAACAAGTCCAACCAGACCATTCTTGTCTCTCTCAGATTTCTATCTCAAGACACCATGTTCCCCAACTCCAGTCATGTGCCATGATGTGATGACGAAACACACAAACTGGGTGGAACTTAAATAAATATACAAAAACAAACCATATTAATGTGGGAAGAGGAAAAAGTTGTATTTGTAAAATAAACCATCCCCTCTTTACGAACGCTGTGACGTTCAGTTCTGTCAATATCCATCTCGTTCAATTTCATGGTGATTTTTTTTCCTCTGGCCAGAAAAAGATCTACTTACTAGCTCAAAAACACCACACACTACTGATGTAGAAGTATGTATCTCACTATATGCTTGCATTTCTCACTGTGGCATGTTGTGTGCACTATTATCCTTATATATCCTTGCATATTTATTTATTTTCAAATGTATGTGTGTCCTTCCTGTTTCTCGTTCATTTGAATGCGGAACAGATTCACCTGAAGCAGCATCACATGCAACTGAGGTTGAGGTCGCTTTTGCCTAGGGGTGTCTGGGGGTGGGGGTGTAAACAGTGACCTCACCTGTCATACTCAAAAATAACACACGTGAGAGGACACACACCTCAAGTAAAAGATCAATAATAATAATAATAATAATAATAATACATTAAAAAACACAAAGCTAACTTTAGATATATAATAAGTTATCCATACAAAACACTGCAGATTAAAGCACACGTGCTGCTTCTACTCGTTAGAAGCCAGTAGAAGCCCATTTTTAACACAGAAAGGTGAAACAATGTCAGCCTACATTCATTTCTAGCACTCGGTTCAAACAATGCAACAAGTTTTATTAACGGGCTTATTTGGGTACATGCTGAACTCCTGGCCATCAGTTTGGGAACCACGGATGCTACGAGCCAACTTTACAAACAAGCCGCGCGCCCTCAACCAAAACACTCACCATAGGTTACCTAAACTCAACGTGAGTTGACTGTTTGAGGACACCGTGACACAAACTTACTTACCAGCCGTGTCAGATCCACTCAGCATCCACCTAAACGCCGCACGAAGACATGTACGGCGCACTTTGTGCAAAGTTTTCGGTGACCGACTCGCTTCACAACTCTCGCCGATACAGTTGATGGAGCAGCTCGTGCTGCGGTGGGAAAAACCGCTTTCTGCTGTGCTGCATTCAGTGGCCCTCGGAATACTGCACTCCAAATGCATGCGCAACACTAAGACAGGGATATCAAACTCATTTTACATAGTGGGCTAAATACAGCCCACTTTGATGCTAAGTGGGCTGGATGTTAAGTGGAAGTCTCTCATTGTAAAAAAGTTTAATTACACATTTAATCCTTAGATATCTTAATATAATAAAACGTGTAATTTCAACAGGACATCTCTACTTGATAAACAAAAGCTGCTGTAGAAAATTAAAGACATCTGGCAGTATGACTCTTTGTGTTTAAGTTGTAAGAAATACTCGTGTAAAACTATATAAAACTTATTTAGTTATTGAGTTATAAAATAGAAAGTATTTGTTAATTCACTAAAATATAACAACATACATTTCTATTGTAAGTGGAAAAAAGAGGAACTTTACTGTCATTTCTTTTTCTTTCTTCTTCTTCTTCTTCTTCTTTTTTTACCAAATTACTTTGGTGTAGCATGGGTTTATCTTTGTCTGTAAAGATAAAACTATAAAACTTTTCAAACTATAGTTCAAAGTCCAAAATTTATGTCTTCCTTCACGTTTGCTAAAGCTGTCCAGTTGGACAAGATTGGAGTATTTGCATAGCCAATTCTGGCACCCACACCTTGTGTTTGACACCCCTGATTATAGAAAGTATATCAAAAGAACATCCTGGGCTTTCTAGTGGTACCACATTCATGGGGGTTTAACTTTATTTGTTTTTAAAATGCTTTTATGGGAACGAATTAGGTTAAGTAATAACATTTTTGTAGCTACTATGATTCTATTGCTACAAACCAAATTGATTCCTCAATTTGAGATTATGAATGTCAATTTAGCAGGATTTGAGAAATGCACAGTAAATTTAACCCTTTCAAAGCAAAACTTTTATTCATTGTTCTTTGTGGTGGACAGCAGGACATACTGCCTCTCATCAAGAGATGAGATGGAGGATGGCCAGTCAAGAGTGGGAAAGTGAAAGCTCAGACAAGAACCAGCTTTTAAGTAGCGTGAGCAGGAGTAAAAGTGATGGTACCTATCATCCATTGTGGATACAAAGCAATGTGTAACCTAGGGCTCTAAAGTTTTATAGCATTACAGTGTGTAGAAGGTGAAATAAAAGCCTTTCAAACTGAATTCGCACACATACACAAACACACTTGTATAAATGTAGAGTATATAATCAGCTAAAAGTCTGACTTCTCAAACAATTTGCTCTGCTCATGAATTTATTTTATTTATTTACTTTGCTAAAAGTGCAAATCCACCTCCCCTTTCTTTTGTCAATTCAGTTTCAAACAGACTGAAACCAAGGCGACCTGATTACCAGATTTATCAAAATATGCCAGAAAACACAAACCAGAGGGAGGTGCTCGTCGCTGAAGGCAGCCTCAAAGCTACAAACGTTCTTTAGCATATCTGTGCCCATGGCATGACTCGGATACCCTAGCATCAAGCTATACTGGGTCCTAGTTATAGCCATTTCAATAAATCAGGACAGATTCTTCAAGATCAGGCAGTCCATCAATGAAACAAATGATCTTGATGTCTCTGATAAGGGTAAAAGAATAAAGCCCTCTGGAAGGCGATCTGCCTCAATCTGCCGGGATCATGGAGGGCCTGTGGAGATGAGCAGATGATTCCCTTCACAGGCTGGCGTCATGTTCTGAAGTTTGTGCCAGATCCCCCAACTTAGCCTACACAATACTTATCCTTAATGAACTCCAGGTGTTGTTGTTTTGCGCCAGCTTGTGCTCCTCAAAAGCCAGTATGTCCTCCTGACCTTTCACTTTCCTGCTCTACTGTCTGGCCCACCTTGACTTTATCTCCTGATAAGTGTGACTAAGTCAGTCCTTTCTCACTGACTCAGCCCTCTGTCATCAATGTTAATGGATCTAACAGCCTAATTATGGTGACCATTTGGTGTGCAGGGAGCAGTTGAATCAAAAAGCTCGCCTACGACAAGTTATTTGTTAAAATCATCTTTAGGTATTCAGATGTGTTTCCTTCATTTAACTGTTTCTTTCAAACACAATACTTAAATTAGCTATGAAATGAGATGGCAAATCTAAACATGTTAGTCTAGTTAATATAAGTACACTGGGTTGGGTCAACCACGCTTTTGCCTTCAGATCTGCCCAGATGATTTGTGGCCCAGATTCAGGATGATGCTGGAAACATTCCTCTGAGATGTTGGTCCATATTGACATCTTTACATCACACAGTTGCTGCTTATTTGTCAGCTGCACATCCATGTCATGAATCTCCCATTGCATCACATACCAAAGGTGCTCTACTGGATTAAGATCTGGTGGCGGTTAGTTGAGTACAGTAAACTCACTGCAGCCTTTGAGAAGGCAGGGCATAAAAGGATGCACATTATTAGCAACAACTCTCAGGTATATTGTGACATTTCAATGATGCTCATTTGACAAAGTCTGCATGTCTAAATGCACTGATCCATGTTATTGGGTGATTACATAGGCATGTTAACAGCAGCTGAAACACTATACCCAAAAAAGTGGCCAGTGAGTCGTTTGTTAGTACTCTGTGTGACTCAATAAAATTGCAAAACAATGAGTGCCACTGTTTGGCTCGTATCTCAGTTAGAGTTGGCAGTATGTTATCTTAGGCGGGACCAAGATCCGATAAAAATCCTGCCAAAGTAAAGGTCCAAAGCCAAAAATTCACTTATCTCATTCTTTTTATAATTATTATTATTATTATTATTTCACCTCTTTTTCATCCATTCCTTATCTGCTCAAGAATTTGCTCTACTAAAAGTTTACTTTACTAAAAGTGCTAAAGTTTGAGAGCTGCATCCGTGCTGTATTTCTTCCTTGCTGGTGGGGAAAGTGGATGGGAAGGCATGTAGTGTTCTCTGGCCTACTCTGCTCCTACAATAAGATCTTTAAATAGATAATTAGGGGGTTGTTTGGGGGGGGGTGTTTAAGACTTTTGCACAGAATAATTTATAATCCCTGTTTTATATAGTGAATATGTTCTATATAGGATCAGCACACTCAAACTGGGTGGATATTTGTTACTGTAAAAGATGGCAGAGCAGTCCTTGACTAGAAAGAGAGAGCATATTTCTCCCATACTGGCTTCTCTTTGTTGGCTCCCTGTTAAATCCAGAACTGAATTTAAAATCCTTCTTCTCACATACAAGGTCTTCAATAATCAGGCCCATCTTATCTTAAAGACCACATAGAGCACTTCATTCTCAGACTGCAGGCTTACTTGTTGTTCTAGAGTATTTAAAAGTAGAATGGGAGGCAGAGCCTATAGCTTTCAGGACATTCTTCTGTGAAATCAACTCCCAGTTTGGAATTGCGAGACAGAGACCCACTCTTCTTTCAAGAACTTGCATTTTTTGATAAAGCATATAGTTGGGGCACTGAATGCTCTTTTAATAATGCTGTAATAGACCTGGGCTGCTGGGGGCTTCCCAAGATGCACTTTACCTTTTCCCCCCCACTGAATATGTGTTAATAGACCTCTCAGCAGTTAATCTTTAGTTATTATTAATCTCTGGATCTGTTCCACAACATGTTTGTCCATTACCCCTGACCAGGTTGTGGCAGATGACCTCGCCCCTCCCAGGTTCTGCTGGAAGTTTCTTCCTGTTAAAAGGTAGTTTTTCCTTCTCACTGTCGCCAAGTGAATGCTCATAGGAGCTCTTCTGATTGCTGGGGTTTTCTCTATAATAATTTAGGATCTTTATCTCAAACTATAAAGCACCGTGAGGTGAGATAAAATTCAGTTGAAATGGCAATGCAGGTAAATGCTGCATATGCGTTTGCCTGCTCTCGTCATGACTGTTTTTTTTTTAACACATCAAGCCAAACCGCAGTATTTCCCGTAACTGCAATATGGCCAATAGCACCTGAAGGCAGCATTGCTTTCCCTCATTTAGCCAACTGAGCCGTAGACAGGAGGACAATAACACTTCTCCTCTGTAGCAGGCCTACTGTGTGTGTGTGTGTGTGTCACTCTATTGGAATGTCTGGCAGCAGTTCCTTACCGTAGCCAGTCATTCACTTATTTATGCCGCATGTCCTATACATTGTTGCTACTAGCCCAGAATGATTCACTCCAGTCAAACGTTTGCAAAGCTCTTTACGACCATTTGGTTTAACTCAGGGGGCAATCGCAGAAATCATTTTGACAGCCGACTCCGGTAAATAGCTGCCCCGGTGCAGCGTCTGTCCGCATGCTCCATCAGCTGCCATCCTTTGATGTGTCTCACACACAGAGATCTCACCTCGGCGAAACAGCCGGATCACTGTGAGGCACTAGTTCAATCAAAAGACGAATAGTTTTGGAATCGCGCAATGCTTTCTTCCGACAGATAAAGGCGGGATTCATGGGAGTGTCTTGATTGTGTCATTGTTTTAAACGATTATCGTCGCCCGGGACTTGAAATGAGCGGTGGCCCGAAAAGCACGTGCTCAGCGTATTACTGCATCTATTTCAACTTGGAAAATGAGGAATTTTTTCCCAATCCCCCCCTCTCCTCACCCACTCCATTGATGGGAAATCTGATGCCATCCGACAGGAATGTGCAACCCTTCCATCCCTCCAACTCTCCTCCACCCAGGAGCGTGCAAAGTGCAAAACCTTTGGGAATCCCTGGTTCCCTGATGATTAAAAAAAAAAAGGGGAGAAAACAAAGGAGAGCGGGTAGCTCTTCCAACAAGTCAAATGTGACTTAAAGCTTCCCCACACTACTTTAAAATCTGATAAAAAATCTTTATCCTTTTGAAAATTAAAATCGGAAATCTAACTGAAGCATTAAATGCAATGCAGGATTTCTTGGGGAGAATATTATCTCCCGTATTTTTGTGGAATATAAGGAATATAAAAAAATGAATAAATAATAAGAAGCAGATAAAGGAAAGACGCACCACTCTTTTCATATTTACATATGTTTCAGATATCTTAAAAAAAGAAAAGAAAAGAAAAAGAAAACAGTTTTTATGCTTAACTGAAGCGACAGTCAGTACATACACATATCCCAGAGGGCACAGTCTCACTTTGCTGTGGAAAAGTCCTCCCATTTCTCACGGAGTTATCCAGGAAACCTTAGCACGTGGGCAAAAAAGCCTCTAGGCCTCGACAAACTCAGGCATGCTTTGAGTGTCATGACTGCCCGGAACAAACAGCGACAATTTTTTTTTTTTTTTAAGCACTGTTTTTCCTGGATTCTGTTGCAGGCGCAGGGCTGCTCCATTCTTCCACAGGTGCTGGAACTTTGTAGATACATCTCATCTGCAGTGCTGGACCAGGTGTTTCGTGGAAGATGACTTTTGAAACATAGGTCTGAAGATACCATGTAGGGAGGAATGGATTATGTTACTGACTTGATGCCTGTGAGACACTAGAAAACACAAGTGAAATCGTACTCCACAACCATTGCTTTTCTTTTTAATCACTCTCTCACAATGTGAAGCCCGTACTATGCGCCTGTGGCACTTTTACTTTAACTGTTGTTTATTCACTGTAGAGTGGACTACTTTTATTCCTCATCCTCGTCTACCAATCCACAGTTTTAAAGTGGCACTACTGATGCGTTCAAGGGCACGTCCTTATTTTTGTGGATCCTGCCCTCTGCCGTCAGAACATAACCGTTACATATGCATGACCGTCTTGCTGTCCCGGTGATGTCATAATGAAGAGACTGATTGTAGCTGAAGCACAAACGCAACTAATAGCAGAGTGGAAACGGAGCCATCTGCTGCTGTGATGAAACATATTTATCCAGATGCTGGATCTCTCCAGATATCTTGCTGGATGACACTGCCTCTTTGGGGCGTTTTTTGCCTTTAATTTGCCAATTTATTCTTTACCTCAAAAACAAAGAGCTACTCTGTTTTAGTTCAGCCTTTTCACACTTCACCTAGCTCGGTGCCTGGCTGAAGAATTACCCTGCAACTGTGCCTAAACCCAAGGCACAAGTCTTTGCTTTTTGCAAGATATGAATTCTACTGTGGTACCAATGCAACTCTGTTATTATGCATGGAAAAACACAGCCCTCACAACTGTGTGTTGTGTGATAAACAAAAGCCACAGTATGAACACACAAGTGTTCACTCAGCCAGGTGCTATTCTGAGCAGTACAGCTACCTGACTCAGTGGTTTGTTGAAAGCTTCTTTGCCCGTGGCCTGGTTTGTACCATTGTCGCCTATTGAGCCGTTAGTGGAGCATCATGGCTAACACCACGGGTGTTTGGACAATAGTTTAAGTAGAAACAAAACCTCTACACAGTTTGGGTGCATTCCGCAAACTTCTGTCATATTTAAATGATTTAATAAGAAGTGATGATCAAGTGCTTTATGAGAGAAAAGACAGGAGGCAGAGGGTAAGACTTATAAATTTAAATAAGATTTATTTTCAAGTTATAATATACTAAAAAGTTATTCATCACTGTGTGGAAATACATACATCTGAGCTTCTGTAAAACATTGCAGAAATAATAATAATAATAATAATAATAGTATAAAAACAGCTTCAGTAGGTTTTTAAGGCTTGTAGGTCCTGAGACTGTTCACCTTACCAGCTCATGAAAAACAACACATTGTGCTCACACTACCAGCATTCATGCCATTTAAACTAATAATAATAATAATAATAATAATAATAAATTCAATGTAAAACCAAAACACACTTAAGAAAATTAACTTGTGGACATTTGATGTGACCGTCACATGCATGAACAACTGACAAATGTCACAGTGCCTTTATTTTCTACTAGTTCCTTAAAAAAAAAAACAAAAAAACAAAAAAACAGAGTGAGACAGCTAATATGTTTTTTTGAATCAGTAATTAATTTTGGCAATAAAACTGAGTTCTTCTTCTTTACATAATATCTCAGAGCACGGCTGGGATTTACTTCAACCACAGCAAATTCTGTAGATAAAATGCATTTTTATATTGCACACAAAGTTTGTTGCTTTAGTCTTCTACAGCTCACTGTGTCATGTCCTACAGGACCAACATGAGCCAGCTGGACTTCTTATACAACACAAGGAAATAGTTGTCGCATTGCATAGAAGCAACAGTGTGCACACTAACATTTACTGCATAAGTGGAATAATTATAGCAGGAACGGGTGTTGACTGTGCAAGTTGTGCTGCAGACACAGTTCTCCACAAGTTGAGAAAAAAAAAAAAAATCCAGAAAGAGGAGAGTGTGAAAAACAGCAAAGACAGCACCGCAGGATATAGCGTAGCAGTCTAGCACCACTAATTGCTTTCCCTTTCCAGCTGTATTGGACCCAATTAAATTGTGTCAAATACGGGACTGCAGTTGCGAAAATGACCTCACTGGTCGTGCCACTGGGAAACTTGTTGTTAAATGTTAGAAATACCAAAATAATTTCTACCAGATACAAAACATAGAGACAGCTGTGCTGGAGAGCCAGATTTCTAGACATAAATCATACATCAGAGGCAGAAAAAACACTCTTTAAGCGTGAAAGAAAAAAACAAACTACTGCTTTTAGCAGAGAAGCTTTTATATTTGTGCTTTAAAATATTTAAAGTCTCTAGAACTTTTGCTGGAATTTTATAAATCAACTAAAAATCCCAAAACTGCTTTACCAGCTGAACGCCTCTGGACTGAAGATACAATGTATCCACTTATAATCACAGGGCGAGTGCAAACGTCCAGAATCTTAGATGCTAGTATTGAGTTGCTAAGGCTATCATTAAAATAAAACAAAGAAACGAAAAAGAAAAAACCCTACTAGGCCAAAACCAGAACATGTGCCTTTATATAGAAGACTGAGTCTAACTGTTTGCAGATATTCACCTGAGTAATGAGGGGTTGAGCACGGTTATATTAACAAAACTGCACTTCATTGTGCTGTTTTACTTCTCATTATTTAGCTTTACCTCCTTGAAATAAATGAGCAAGATTTCATTGTAAGACACTTGAAGCGATCTTTGTGCGCAGTTGTTTACCAGCTGATTTGCTGAATTATTGTGACAGCTTACTCACACTTGCTCTGCGCTCTGGCAGAGACAAAGCGCAAATGACATCCCACTTCGAGCATCACAGAAAATATATTTTTGAACTGATTATGCACTAATTTCCTGCTAAAATGGCACAAGGTGATGACAGGATCTGACTCTCGTGTTGATAAAGAAATCAGTGCAGCCTATCGCAGGGGTGGGGCTTAGTGTTTTAGCTACAAAATTCTCTTAGCACCCTAATTCTTATTCATTTTCATGTGTATTTGCACAGTTATCTGAGAGTATCTTAGGACATGCTACTGGTTACTGAGCCGCTCTATTAAGGAAAGCTTTCCTACATAAGGCACTTTAAATATTGCACAGTGCACAGCTAGAGGTTGGGCTGCAAAGTTGAAGACAGGGAACCTGGAGAAAAATGCACAGGGAGGACATACAAGTGGTCCACTGACTAGCACTAGGAGTGCTAACCAACATCACACCCTGCTGAGAAATCCCTGAGAAAATAGTACAGCATGACAGTGTTGGAATTTATTGTATTGTTTGTAGTGACTAACTGCATTAAAGTGCTTTTCTTGAGTTTGTGGTTTTTTTGTTGTCATTGTCGATGGCAGAGCGATCATAGTCGTAGTCTTAGCATGAACAGATTCAAACATTTTTCTTTTTTTTGAGTAAAATCATAATAAAAATCTAAATTTGCACACTTTTTAGTACAATATGGTTATGCCATCCTCTCTTTGGCTATTTTATTCAGGTTAAAGTAAAAGGGGAGTAAATGGGATGTCCTTCATTGTATTTATACTGTGTACATATACACACAAGTTCCAGGGATCAGCGTACAGTTTTTAGGAGAAGTCTTTTTTCTCGTTTCTTTAAAAAAACCTAAACCTGTTGATTAATTTAAAAAAAGATACAAGCATTAAATTGCACAGGTTGACTCTTAGAATCAATGTGTATAGATGCACTGACTTCATTTCTGAATACATCACAAGCCAAAACAGCCCCATATTAGATTGGGTCTGATCTATTTCTGCTTCTAACTCTATAAAGAGCTTAAACTTCCACTCAGGTTTGCATATAAATAACAAGTAAAATAAGAAGTAAATTAAGACCATATGATGGTAAAGAGAAAAAAAAAATCAATACTTAAACTGACGATACGTCTGCTCATCAGTTCCTACAGGAACTATTATACCACTTCCTTATTGCTACTCCACTGGTGCTCACCGCTATGCACAGCGCTCCGCCGAGGCTCCACCATGTTGGTGCGCGGCTAAAGAAAATGAACTGGTAGATGAACGCCAGCACCACATCCACAGTTTTCATCAGGGCTACGGGTCCGGCCTTCTCAACCTGCAGAGCCTTTATGAGGAAGGTCTGGCCTGCGATACCCAGGATGGCGATCAACATCAGCAACCAGCGGTCGCGGCCACAGAATGGGATTTTCCATTCACCCAGGACGGATACGGTGATGATGCACTCGATTAACCCGATGACAGCATAATACCACACGGAGACGTAGTAGTGGACACTCTTGCCCAGCTTGCGAAGAATAACAAATGTACACGCAGCTCCAATTGCTCCTATACATAAATTAACCATTGAGAGAGACACAGAATGAATCAATCAATCTGCAGGATAATAAGAATGAACAAATCCATAAGAACCACTTTAGACTTGAAGGACAGCTAAAGGGTATGTTCGGCTCTATTGCTTCAGAGCTACAAAGCTATTATTAAACTGATAGAATTACTTGAATTAATGAGGTTAAATGCTGTCCTAAACCCGTATGTTTCAGGTTCATCGTGTGACATTTTGGATCACATTATTACTTATTGTTATGTAGTATTAACATCTATGCATTTCTAATCATTCCTGCTGATTCAAAGATTTAAATTTCGAAATGAATGAGTCCATAAAAAGTTTGCCAAACTGTTAGTCAGTGAGAATCCAATATGGGTATCATGCTTTGAAACCTAATGGACCTCTTTTACAGAAACTAATAAGCTGCTACAAAAGAAAGGAGACAGCTTTGAGCCCAGCCACAATTGACTGGAAACAATTTATCACCCATGTTTAGCATTCAGTCGAGCAGCAACGTGCTGGCTCTTAAAAAACATACCATATAAAGCCAACATGGAAGTGCCAAAAATGGCAGTTCCTTGAGTGGCCACTTGAGGCGGACTCTAATAAAAGTCCATCCACACAGACCCCAGTGTAACTTCACTGGTATGAAAACAAACAATTTTCATCAACATGGCCAATTTTTCCCTTCACTTTCATGTTTAAATCACTTCAGGGTTTCTTTTCATGCATTATGCCACTAGAGCATAGGTGTCAAACTCTGGCCCGCGGGCCAAATTTGGCCCGCAGCCTAATTACATTTGGCCCGCGAAGCCATACCAAATTACTATTAGAGCTGGCCTACTGGTATTATACAGCTAATATATATATATATATCGTTTAGTGTTAGGCTTTGCTTGTTCCATATTCAGTTTTTCAGCAAAACTTGTTCGAGTCCATAACAAAAGATTCATTCTTATATCTGGAGGAAGATTTTTCAATAAATATTAATGTTAGCCCGTGACTTTGTTCCAGTTTTGAATTTTGGCCCACTGTGTATTTGAGTTTGACACCCCTGCACTAGAGAGTGGCATAGGAGGCTCTTGTGTAATTTGGAAAACCTTTTCACTCTGCAACTGAGTGTCAGTAAACAGTAGATGGATAATCCTAAGGTCCAGATACATCTCTCAGGTCTTATGTCAAGTCTTTGCCAAAATGTTTCCTGTTTCATTAGGACGTGACTTTCAGATACTGTTCATCTTATCTACCACATATCCATTTGTCCTCCATTCATTTTGCACTCCACCCTCTCATCCAAATGTGGTTCAGTTCCCCTGGTTGCCATGGTCAACTTGACCATGAGAGCAAACAAAATCCTCAGCAAAATACTCAGTGTAAATGTTTGGATAAATCATATCACCTCCAAATGCAGCAAAAGTCCCCTTGATGTGGTTCGTGTAGTCGCCCTCAATGCCATGAACATTCTCGCCGAAGAGAAATGGCGGTCGGGCAATGAGGATGACTCCGGTGAGGGTAAAAACAGTGAAAACACAGTCCCAGATTGTACATTTCTCCTTCAGGAAGATCCATGCCAAGAGGGAGGTAAAGACTGGATTACTGGAGGCAGGGTTCAATGAGAGAAAGAGTTAAAAAGGAAAAAAAAAAAGCATGGAAAAAGTGTAAATGTAGCTGATGAATTCAAGGAGGATGCAATGCATCTGTAGTGTTAACATAATCTGAAGTGATCTGTAATAAATGAGCTTTGAAGCAGCTCTCACCTGAATGTGATAACGGTGGCATCTGCCAGCGGCATCAGCTGAACTGCATAGAAGAGCAGTATCATGGCATTGGAACCAAGGAAACCCCGAAGCATCAAAACTAAACGTTTATCTCTGGGACCAAGAAAACCTGTCCTGGAGGAGCACAGATATGAGGATGATGGATGAAGGGATGGCTGAATGGAAGGATGACTACAATGACTGATAGAGGAAGTAATAAACTGAAATTTCAGGGAGGGACAGATGGAGAAAATGCAAGTACCGTAGGGAGTTAAGGGATGACAAATTAGTGGATGGCTAAGGAAAATGATACATTTAGGTAATGTGGGAATGACAGTGATGGATGCATGAGTGGATGCTGCTGAAAACAGGGAAGAGAGACAGATCTGTAAATGATAAATCAAAGTTAAAATGTATGTGGAGGATGAACAGAAGGATGGGTGAGAAGGTTCAATGCCTTTTTTAAGTTATATTTCTCAGTATTAAAGGAATCAAGCCAAGCTAGTGGAATAAATTGACAGGGGGAAAAAAAGAATTCAATTTTATTTATACGCCTCCAAATAACAACAACAGTTGCCTCAAGGCACTATATATTGTAAGGTACCCTACAATAATACATACAGAGAAAAACCCAACAATCATATGACTCCCTATGAGCAAGCACTGTTCCTGTTAAAACTCCCTTTTAACAGGAAGAAACCTACGGCAGGACCAGGCAGTCATCTGCCGTGACTGGTTGGGGTGAGAGGAGGAAGACAGGACAAAAGATATGCTGTGGAAGAGAGCCAGAGATTAATAACAAGTATGGGCACAAGCTAGATTTACTCTTTCCCCAAAGGGAGGGAGCATTTAATCGTTTCTGTTTGTCTGTCTGTCTATTAGTAGTCTAGGGTCCACAGTTTTTAAGATATCAGTTTCAAATTTTCTCTGATGACAGACACCAATAACTGCTTGAGATTAATTCCCTTTGGCCAAAAATCGGGCCAAGGTTAAGGTAACACCAAATGTGAAAAAAATCTGTTTGATTATATTTTGTTTGCCTGTTGGCATATTAGTCTATGTATGTGTAAAAATTACACCTCAAGTGGTTTGTTTAATATACTTGACTATACTTAAGCTCTGATTATGAAATGGGGAGTTAATTTTAGGTGGCTATATAACTTGATGTGGGAGTATTATTCAAAACCCTTTCCCACACTGAATTTAAATGCACATTTTTCCATCAACAACAGTGAGGGGAATAAAACAAATCTCTAACAATATTTTGTAAACCTCATGTTTGGACCGTGAAGTCAGTAAATCTGGTTAAAGGCGATAAAATGACAGATAAATTACAGGTGAGGATATGCGCCATCTCTTTGACTGTATCCTATTATAATCTGCTCAAACCAAAAAGATTGTTGGTTTGAAAATGTACAAACAAATACTGGCCTTAATTATTTCATATAGTATACAGCGTGTGTAAATCTTAAACCAGCTATTGTGCTTACTTGTGATAGATGATTACTGGTGCGACAAACAGCATCTGAAAGAAGCATCGTATGGCACTGATCTCTATAGCATGAATTCCCTCTATAGTTTTCACCAAGAGGGTGATGATGGAGAAGAAAACTGTGGACAGGAAAGCATAGAACAAGCCAAGACCTGGGCATCTATTTGGTTTCTCTGGGCCTGTGGAAAAAGAGAAAAGAAGGCATTAGTTTAAGTAAGTCTTAAGACAAAAGAATGTAAGAGAAGGGCCATGAGAGGAAAATCACTTACATTTTTAATTATAAAAATGTATTATGTTGTTCTTAATACAGCACTCCATATTGGATGGCGAAGCGAGGAGCAGAATATGTTATTGAACCCCATGTGGCCTGGGTAATTCAGCTGCAAAGATCACAAACAAAAGATATGCCAAATTGTGGGCTGTGGTGTTTGCAAACCCTGACTGTGAAACAACTGATACGTGTGCAGGGATAGACTTTCAGCCCGAGGTTAAACAAGTATTTTTATTTGTACTCACCAGTCCGTTTGCTTTCCAAACTTTGTACCAAGCCACAGGCGAGGAAGAAGATTGACAATGTTTAGTCACAGTAAAGCAGTACTGTAAGACTTGTTGTCATAGAATCATTTTATGTTAGGAATTTTCTTTGATTTTAACTACATAATAGTTTAATTACATACTTTAAGTCAACCTCTGTAGAAACTTAAGTGTACAGCTGGACCAGATGGGAGTTCAATTTTATACCCTGTGCTGTTCTACCCTAGCAATTATGCATCAAATACAAAAGTAACCAAAAAGTAATAAACTAAAACTGGTATGTAAAGGTCCTGAGGAAATGTCTTACTTCCTTGTCAATTTCTAATATAAACCCCCTTCTTCCTTGTACAGGATTATACCAGAGGGAAGACAGGACCAAGCCCTATACAAGTTAAACTAGTTTTAGAAAATTGACATCAGCAGCCATATGTATAAACCACCTCCTGTTTAAAAATAGGCACGTTTTTGGTTAGTTTTTTTTCTTTTGGAAAAGTGCACAGTCATGCATCCGTTTTATAGCACGATGGAAAATGTTAAGCTGGCTTATGAAACAACTGAGCCACCAGCTTCACCAGTCAACTAGGTTCACTACTGGGCAGAATCACTGTAAGGGGAACATTTTTCTTAATCATATTTTAAGTATAATTTGGTGTACAACTTTATTTAACATTACCGTTTTATTCTGAAATAAATAACATACAATGAAAATGGGCTGTTTTAACGGATGTTTTATTATCAAATACCCCCCCCTCCCAAAAAAAAGATGTTATAAGTTTATATAAAAATTGCGCGTAATCCAATTTGACTGTATTACAGTTTATAGGCCAATAGCATACACGTGATATCGCCGCTATCACCGATACGTGACGTTGAACGATTGTATAACGTGGTGCTACGCAGGAAGTCACTGTTTGTGTATTAGTATATTATTTATTCACACGACGAAGTTTATCTGCAGGAGAAAGTCGTAAAAACGGGGGATGCTGACTACTTTATGCTAACTGTAAGTGCATGCGCGTGCGCTTCTACCTTCTGGGGATGGGGACTTGTTTCTGACGCAAAACGCCGGTGGGCACGACGTTTTCTCCTCGCCGCTGCTTTCCAGTGAATTTCCTCTTGCGCCCTCCAGTTGCTCATCATCATCATCTTCTTCTTCTTCATCATACTCGCACGAAGCTCGGCCCTTGCTCCGCAGATGAATCCTCTCTGGTGCCCGGTCGTTTGTGCCGGGCTCTTGTCGGTCGTAGGCGCTGTTTTTGTCATGGCTGTCATCTTTGTAAAACGCCACCGTAACGTCGTCCTCTACGGATAAAGCCCGCTCGTGCGTGCAGTGGTTACAGTCTGCCATGCTAAGATGCGACGGCTGAGCGGTAGCATGCCTCAGTGAGAGTACCGCGCGACTTCCCCGGTGTCCTGAGTGACTGAGAAGACGAGGTTAATGAGTAATCTTATCTCAGGGGGCAGGTTGCTAACGACTGTGTGGTGTTCAGTTTAGCCACAGGGGGGCAGAAGTGGACTCAAACCAAGTCTCCTACCTAGGCAACTAAAATGTTCCTAAAAGTCCATGCCCATTTCATACACTTACATTTTTGATTAAAGAAGTTCTGCATACTGGTGAACTAACCATTACAGAAATATAGATTTTGTCATTTCCGATACTGTTATTGTAATGGCAGCTGTGGCATAAACCGTGCAATGGTTGGCGATCTCTCTCTCCACACAAGCAAAAGTTTACAAGTTCTATTTGTTTGTATGTCTGTATTTATTTTATTACTTGCATCCTCGAACAGAAAAATGAGTTTTAGTGTTTGTCATTCATTTCTGAATGTGAGCCTAGTTCACAATAATAATGAGATTTCAGGATTTTATTTATTTAGCTTGAATTAATTTTGACAATATTTTTTTTTTATCAAGAAACACACATTTTACTCAGTAATAGATTGGTATCCTTGTGAAAACAGTAATGTTAAATCCTTTATTCCCACCACCATGTGGTGCCCCAATACAGTTTTCACCTCAGGACTGGATGCCACTGTGGTTAAAAAAAAAAAAAAAAGGAACACTTTTTTATTATCAAGTGAAGAGAATCAGCTGAATACAAATCAAATCATAAAGACTAAATTCATTCAGTTTGTAAGTACAATTGAACAAAAAACAATACGAGAAGTTGCTTGCTGATTTAGTATTTTATTACCACTGTACATAAAATAAAATGCGAAAAGAAGGCAAAGGGACATGTAATATCCTCTATCCTTACTCAACTAGATAAAAGTGACACAAGTAAGTCTACAGCAGAAGTATCACGTTACACCAAATCTTATCACTATATCTACACCAAAAAAAGAAGCATCGAGTGTGGTCCCCTCTACATACAAAAGTAACATAATTTACACAATATTGTAAAAACGTAAACATTATTTTTTTGGCAAATTGTTCTCAGTGAAGTTTTTAATTGTCATCAAACTTCTTTTGTGTCAGAATAAGAGGCGCACGTGAAAGCATAGGTAGTATGTGCGGCACAGTGGTTGGCTTTTCGTTGCAGAGTAAAGACAACAATGGCTTTGTCAACGGGGGAGAAAAGGGGTAAGGTTGCAGTGAAAGAGAAAGGGCTGGGTGACACAGTGGGATGCTTCTAGCGAGGCATTCATCAGAAATCAACGCCATGAGTGTGTTGCGCACACAGTCTTGTTCAACTGAGAGCAGAGAGGAAGCAGTTCTTTTTTTTTTAAACTCAGTTTCTCACAGTGTTTAGCAGATTTGTCGTTCCATTTATTGAAGTGAAATAATTACAAGCTGCCAACTAGCTGCCATGGAAAAGACACGGTTCTCAGCAAGTAGTCCAATTTTTACCTGCATTTGGTTGAAAGTAGTATTATTATGAAGCTCAGGTGTCAAATACTGACAAAATGCTTTATTGCCAAGTACAGCACTACATCTATAATCATAGATTTAAAGGTGAAAAGGGGGTTTTGTACATTTGTCAGATTGTCTGTTTTCTGTAAGGTATCTGTCAAGCCTGTCAGTTGAATGGCTCATGTGACAGGATGAATGAGACTAACCTACACAAGCAAATAAATCAAGTACTTAAACACAACACACCTATTAGTATTGTAGGTTAATGTCCCATAGTCTATAATGTATTTTCCATTATAGACCCCATTTCCAAAAACAAAAACAACAACAACAAAACATGAATGGTAATCAGCACTATCAAAATCCTATAGGAGAAACAAAACTGTATGTAGATTAATAGCAAACTCATGTGTGAATGTCTTCTGCCTTTGGAGTTGAATAATAGACAAAGAAGATCACTGACTTCACAACTTTAAATGGAAAATAAGGCATTTCCAAATATTAAGGGATTGAGATATAAATACAGGACTTGCAGACCACTGCAGCTGATCACAAAATATTTATAAGTTTAGCTACAAACTAATCTACCAGGATTTTGACAAATCTCTCTTTTTGTTTGAGCAAAGGTGGAAATTGTTGATTGATTAAAATGGGACTGACGAGAGCGACAATCTCGGGGGAAAGGCATTTAGACGATGGGCCTAATTGCTCAGATCGATCATGAGGTGCTCGTATATCTGAGTTTTTCCCTTGAAGCTGGATGCCAGTAGGAACACCCGGTCGTCAATGGAAACCAGAGAAAATCCCCGAGGCGCCTGGATATTCAGCTCCTGAGATGGGACAAACTGGCCCCTCTTGGTGTCCCATTGGTAGACCTGCGTCAGTGAGTAATCGCTGCCCAAGATGGCATACTGCCAGTTGCCGGTGGAGACGGGCTGGAACACCATAGAGCCACGGGAAGGAAATGTCTGGACCTCTTTGAACATGGCACCGTCCCAGCGCATCACCTTGGAGTCCCCGATGAATCTTGTCAAGCATATAAACAGATCACCTTTGAAAAGGACAAAGATTTCAAGAGGCCGTTTAGTTTAGACATTCAGCCACTAAATGCGGATCTGACACAGGAAAGCTCACAAAAAAAACAGATTATGTAAACCCAAATATAATTCATTGTTTGCTACAAATATATATTCAGCTGTGGGAGACATTTCGAGCTACATTATTCATGCACATTCACTCATTTTATATTCACACATTGTGTGCTGTGATCTTGAGTCGTGTCTTCCCTGTCTGCTCACATAGCAGAGTTGGGCTGATCTCAGCCTTATGCACTGTTTTGGGAGAAAGAAGAAGTGGATGCAGATGTTACTCTGGGAATGGTGCTATTTGTTTTTGATGACAGATAAAGCTTTCTCTCAGTTTTTCTTTCAGCCCTAACTAGGCTAGCTGTTATGGCAAACCCATAATATTCTCATAATATTATGTATACACCCCAGATTGCCTGTTTAGAGAAGGCTGAGAGTGTCTCCTGGTAGGCAGAGCGCCTGGTGTACCACATTTCTCTCTGCTGGGAGGTCTAAGGTGAGGGAGAAACCATAAAGTTGGAATTGCAAATTAATTCCCTGTCATTTGTCTTTGGAGACCTGTGTCCAGTACGCATACGGAAGCTGTTGTAAACCTCGAAAGAAAACTGCTTTCCTTGAACTAACTTTTCCCTGACATCAGCTAATAGCCACTAATAGGTAACCTGTTAATATGAGAGAGAAACCCCCACCCCACACTATCATAATGTTTTACAGTCTGATTTGTGTGCAGGTTTTATGGCAGTGACATTGCCTCTTATCGCCTTCAAAATAAATGCCGACGATATGCAGCGGGAAAATAAAGAGTAATAAATCAAGTCTAAGAAAGTAGGTCATAAATGTTTTTATTAACCACACTTAAAAAAAAAAAGTTGAGTCCAATATTAAGCATGTGGTGCACTAAACTTAATGGATGCAACTAGAAGTTTGCACAGTGTCCTTTTGCTTGCATGGATCTCACCTTGAACTCGGAAGTGTTTGATGGAGAAGACGTCCTCCATGTCCGGTATGTCAGTCCTGCGGTCAAACTTTTTCTGGCTCCTGTTCCACTGGTACACGACAGGCCTCTGGGAGCTACTTGACAAAATCAGGTGGGGTTTGTTGGAGATCTCTAGATATTCTACATCTGTATCCCTGTACCAAGGGTGGAGTGACTGGTGGGAATAAAATCCATTGCCGTTCCATTTGTACACCGTTGTGGAGCCCGCCTACAGGAAGAACATGTACAAAACATCAGCTCAAGCCAACTACATTCAAAACCTGAACAAGCATTTTAATTAAGTACTCAATAGTGATTTACAGTTGAAAACAATTATAGCTCAACATGAAAAAAAATTAGGCAACAAACTTCAAATTTTGCATGAAGCCAAACACCAGAGTGTGGTGGTGTGTCTGTGCTTGTGTGCCTGAGTTGTCCCCAAGCATATGTGAGAGCATATGTGAACATTTGGCAATACAAGCTAATCAGCAGGAGCAGACACAGACCGACATGCTGCAGAGAAGGACGCCCGGGGAAGGACTGGCTGACGTGGTGGGAAGAGTAGATTAGATGATATTTATTCATACAGGGGCTGGATGCAGTAATAAGGACATGTCTACAGTATTGTTGTTGTTTTTAAGTCAAGTCAAAATTGATATCTGTTTGCACATTTTAACAACCCCAGCTGACCAAAGTACTGTACAAGTTATATAGAATATACAGTATATACAATGATGGCTAAATCAACAATAACTATGCACTAAAAATCAAATAAAAGAAGTAAATAACACTGTGTTTGCACACTAAAAGCCAGGATACTCTGCTCAACTAGATTTGAAAGCAAGCGAGAACAAATAGATTTTAAAAGGTGTTTTAAAATGATTGAGGGACGTGGCAGTTCTTAAGTAAAAAGGTAAGTTGTTCCAAAGATTAGGAGCCACCACTGAAAAGGCCCTAACGCCTCTGCTTTGAAGCCTGATTCTAGGAGAGTTCAAGAGCCGCTGGTTCAAAGCCCTCTGTGCTCCAGTAGGACTGTAGGGTTTCAAAAGTTCTGTTAAGTAAGGGAGTGCTAACCCACTGAGACTTTAAAAATCAAGTAATGCAATTTTAAATTGAACCCTGAAATAGATTCATTTAAAAAATAAACCGTCACTAGCGAAATGCAAATTTATGCCACCTGCCATGAAATACTTTGTTGATTTTGAGTGACAGTGAAAGAAAACAGAAAACAGGCCCAACCTTAGAGCTGTCAGCGATGACAAAGAAAGACTCTCCGTCGATCATGAAGGTCTCGATGTCGTTGGGTTTGCGAATTTTTAGGATGTCAATGTCCTGGATCTTGATGAACTTGCTGGCGGAGGTATCATGCTTGTAAATGTGTGAGCCCCCAAACAACTGGGCCACAATGACAAAGAGGTGGTTCTCAATTAGCATGGGCTTGCAGACGACAGTTGAGGTGCCTAAAGAGTAAAAGAGAGAACAAAATACACATTCAGTACATGCACAGAACCCAA